CCTCCCATAAACATTGGGGAAAAATTGCCAAAAAACCCCGGGCTGCCTTCAAGAGAGACTGACAGATACCTAAAATCAGTCCCGGATCACCCGGGGCTGGGGCTCGTACGTCGACTGCGTGCGGCCAGCAGAACAGCCTTTTGATCGGCCCTGATCCAGGGGGGGCCTGGCCATAAACCGGGCCGGGGGGGCTTTGATCCCCGGGAATAACTCCAGGTAACCCCAGGAAGGAAGCTATAAAAGGGGGTCGGCCAACCCTCACTATCAGGTGTTTAACCGTTGTGGGATCGATAGTGAGGTTTGCCAGACCCTTATAAGCTTCCTTGGATGCTTTACTTCATGTTCCTTAAAAGTGAGTATCACAAAGCGCTTGGAATTCTCTATTCTTTCAGATTGGTTGTTTTGCTATATTTTAATATATAAAAAAAATATATATAATATATATAATATATATATATATATATATATATATATATAAATTATAAATATACAATCCCTCCGTATAACACACATAACACTATGCCCTAACGATTTATCTAAAATATCCCCCTCAGTGACATACCCGGTGGATAGGCTAAAGAGGGGGACACAGGTCGTGGATTTCTGCTCGATGTTACCCTTTAGGAGGGAGGGAGGGCCTTATTTGGGTAGGGCTTTTGACCAAGGGAAACCTTTTTGCTGTATGACCCCCCGGGTTTTTTTCTTTCCCCCCCAATAAAAACTTGGAGCTTGTGCATCTTTTCAGTTGGCTGAAAAGGTTCCCAGCAGGGGTCAAGTTTCCAGTCCCCCTCAGGAATCGCACAAAGAACCACCATCAGTAATTTTTGTACACACACACACACACCCTCAGACTCAAACAAAATTCCCCCCACTATTAAAAAAAGAAACCTAGCCACCTCATCATCAAAACTCACAAGTCCCTAGCTGTCTAGTTTCTAAGCGATTAATTAGCCATCTTGGTACTCCAACAGTACGTCAAGGTTTTTTTACTGAAGGAAAGTTCCCCCAATAAGATTTCCAAATGTTCACAAATTTTCCACTCTTTAGCTTTTTGGTTTTTTCTAAATCATTACATCACAGTACGTCAGGGGTCATTATTGTTCAACCAGTTACATGCTGTCTCATCCATCCATTCTTCAGTGAACCCATTACTTTATCACTACCTAACGTTTTTTTGCATTCTTTAAAATATCTACTTTTCACTTTATAATCCGTTTAAAAATCTACTTTTATTTTTTATTCATCCAAAAATCACTTTTTTTTTTTTTTTTCATCCAAAAAAAACTACTTTTTTTTTTTATTCATCCAAAAATCTACTTTTCGTTTTTATTCATCCAAAAATCTACTTTAGTTTTTATTCATCCAAAAATCTACTTTTCGTTTTTATTCATCTAAAAATCTACTTTTCGTTTTTATTCATCCAAAAATCTACTTTCCGTTTTTATACATCCATCCAAAAATCTACTTTTCGTTTTTATTCATCCAAAAATCTACTTTAGTTTTTATTCATCCAAAAATCTACTTTTCGTTTTTATTCATCCAAAAAACACTTTTTTTTTTATTCATCTAAAAAATCTACTTTTTTTGTTTTTATTCATCTAAAAATCTACTTTCCGTTTTTATACATCCATCCAAAAATCTACTTTTCGTTTTATACATCCATCCAAAAATCTACTTTTCGTTTTATTCATCCATCAAAAAATGTACTTTTCGTTATATACATCCTTCCAAAAATCTACTCAAAAGATTTATACATGCATCCATCACAGCGTTGTGTATTGTGTTGGTGTGTTGTGTAACAAGTAGAAGTGTAAGTGTTTCATTAAGGGTTGTGCAAGAACCCACCGCAGCAGTTACGCCCTCCTATGGTAGGAATTGACAATGAGGGAGTTACGATTACGTTAAAGAGGGGTTAGTTTTAGCCGGGCCCCGTAGCGGATTTCCATAGAGAGCGGAATTCCCCCGCATGATACGAAACCCCGCCATTAAGCAGAGGAATCTGTTTCCCTAAGTGCGAACCCCCCTTTTCTTTAGTAGCGGAACCTACTCGCAATAAGTTCGGGCTGTTTCCCTAGGCCCCTCAAGGAAGGTTCCTTGAGTTGGTGAGGGCTCTTGATTTTGGGAATTGGATCCCCTGCTCCTTTCCCCGAATTAACCCGAAGCCTTCCACTTCCCCCCCCGGGGCTGTATACCCCCCGGGGTTTTTGCGCTTTTCCCCCTTTATTATAATAATAATGTTCCATAGTGTAGGGAATCGTTCCTATAGTGGGGTCCCTTTCTTGAGAGCGGAACTTATCTGTTAAAAAGTAGCGGACAACAACCTCTTCATGACTACATGGGCACTAACTATCACTAAAAATTTCAGTTTTAAAGGGGTGACCTTAGCTGACTTCTTGGCTGATCATTACTGTTTGGCTACAGTTTTTTCGAGGGGGGACAAAAATTTAATTTTGGGTTTGATTTATAGCCCCCCCAAAAACCCTTTATAGGGATGCGAAAACGTTATGGGACGAAATTTATAAGAAATCTAGATATAAAAAAATTTAAAGGGAGATTTTAACTTTAGACAAATGATTGGAACAATATACGGGAAATCTTGAGATGACTTTTTTTTGATACGGTTCATGATTGCTTTTTTTGAACAGGTTGTGACAGAACCAACTAGAGGAAAAAATCCTTTACTTGGTCTGCCAACAAAATTCCTAAATTTAAAAATCTTGGGTTAATGATGAGCTTTGGGGGAAAAAAAGATCACAGACACTTTGTTTTAATATATCATGGAATTTTCCCGATAACTGCAATCAAAACTCTTCCAGATTTTCGCTTGGCCGACTTCATGGGACTGAAAAACCCCCTGGGTGGGCCAAAATTGGGGGGTTTCCCGACATGGGTCAGATATCCCAGACAACTTTTGTTCCGAGTAGGGAAATTAGATCTAAGAAAAATGATCCCAAATGGATGAACAATAGATTAAAACATCTCATTGGTCAAAAGAGAGGCATATATAGGCGTATCAAAAGAGGGGATAGGCAGTTAAGAAATCAATATATTCAATTAAAGAGAGAAATAAAGAAAGGAATAAGAAAAGCAAAAAGGGATTATGAGGCTAAGGTCGCAAGGGATTCAAAGACTAACCTAAAAGGGTTCTTTCAGGTATACAGAAGTAAGATTAGGGACAAGATTGGCCCACTTAAGAGTAACTCTGGTCAGATCACTGACAGTGATAAGGATATGTGTGAAATTCTCAATACCTACTTCCTCTCAGCTTTCACCCAGGAAAATACTAGCAATATTCCTGAAATAATAGATTATGTAGAACAGGATGATAATAAATTATGTACGATTGCGGTAACTAGTGACATGGTCCTCAGACAAATAGAGAAACTAAAACCTAACAAATCCCCAGGCCCTGATGAACTGTTTGCATGGGTGTTAAAGGAATGTAAAGATGAACTTAGCATACCTTTGGCTAATCTTTTTAACATATCACTACAAACTGGAATAGTGCCTGATAAGTGGAAAATGGCAAATGTAATACCTATTTACAAGGCAGGTGACAGGTCCTTGGCTTCGAACTATAGACCAATAAGCCTTACCTCCATAGTGGGAAAATTTATGGAATCAATAATTGCTGAAGCAATTCGTAGCCATTTTGATAAGCACAGATTGATTAATGAATCTCAACACGGTTTTACAAAGGGGCATTCCTGTCTTACGAATTTACTAACTTTTTTCACTGTTTGAGGAGGTAGATCATGGTAATGAATATGATATTGTGTATATGGACTTCAGTAAGGCTTTCGATAGAGTTCCACATCAAAGGCTATTGAAGAAACTTAAGGCACACGGAATAGGAGAAAATTTTTCCTGGGTAGAGGCATGGCTGACAAATAGACAGCAGAGAGTTTGCATAAATGGGGAGAAATCAGAATGGGGGCACGTCACAAGCGGTGTTCCTCAGGGGTCAGTGTTGGGCCCGTTGTTGTTCACAATTTACATAAATGACATAGATGAGGGAATAAATAGCAGCATAAGCAAATTTGCCGATGACACCAAAATAGGCCGTCCAATTCATTCTAATGGGGACACTAGAGCACTCCAGGATGATTTGAATAGACTGATGCAATGGTCGGAGAAGTGGCAGATGCAGTTTAATATTGACAAATGCAAAGTTCTAAATGTTGGACAGTTAAATAACCATGCCACATATTAACTAAATAATGTAAATCTTAATACTACTGATTGCGAAAAGGGTTTAGGAGTTCTGGTTAGCAGTTTAGCAGTAATCAAAAACCAAGACAACAGTGCATTAGTGTTCGCAATAAAGCTAACAGAATTCTTGGCTTCATATCTAGAAGTATAAATAATAGAAGTCTTCAGGTTGTTCTTCAACTCTATATATCCTTGGTTAGGCCTCATTTAGACTATGCTGCTCAGTTCTGATCACCGTATTACAGAATGGATATAGATGCTCTGGAAAACGTACAGAGGAGGATGACAAAGATGATCCCATGTATCAGAAATCTTCCCTATGAGGATAGACTGAGGGCCCTGAATCTGCACTCTCTCGTAAGGCGTAGAATTAGGGGGGATATGATCGAGGTGTATAAATGGAAAACAGGAATAAATTAAGGGGATGTAAATAGCGTGCTGAAAATTTCCAGTCAAGACAGGACTCGCAGCAATGGTTTCAAGTTGGAAAAAATCAGATTCAGGAAGGATATAGGAAAGCACTGGTTTGGTAATAGAGTTGTGGATGAGTGGAACAAACTCCCGAGTACAGTTATTCAGGCTAATACGTTATACAGTTTTAAAAATAGGTTAGATAAATACATGAGTGGGTGTGAGTTGGACCTGACTAGCTTGTGCTGCTGGGTCTGGTGCAGTGCTCCATCCTTGAGTGGAGGTGACCAGACTGGGTGGGTCATTGGTCTAATCCGGGGGGGGTCAATGGTCTAATCCGGGGGGGGACATGGACCTGCTCCGCATGGGTCAGTAGGCCTGTTGCAGTGTTCCTTCTTTCTTATGTTCTTATAAACTGCTATTGACCTAAGATGGCCTTGGGTTAGCTTCCTGTGACCTCGATTCACACACCAATATAAATGTTCAATAACAAGAATGAACGGATCAATGACACGGTGGAAGTAGACACCACAGGTTCGAAACGATAAAACTGGGCTGTTTCACGTCACTGGGTCGAGGGCTAGAGAGGAGGAACCAGGAGATGCACCGCAAACACAAATACACCATTACCTAGTAGTAGAGACAGCAAAGCAAACCTTCATTGGGAAAACATTTCGGTCACAAGAGAGCTTTTTCAAGACGAGCTTGAAACATGATTGAGTGAAACATTGTCCACGTCAAAGTTTTCTCTGCATTACAAAAGGTGTAAGCTTGGTTCTCCCTTTCAAGAAACTCTCTTAATTTGTTCGAGTCCTGCACAGTTAGCTAAGAAATTCCATACTAATATATTCACGGGGAAGCGCTAAACTCGTATTGGTCGTGCAGGACCTGGGGGAATGGGAGGTAATAAGGTTGAAGGAAGGACCATAGAGTTCCACTTGCTTGGGTCAAAAAGTTGCTCACTAGAATTTTCACACACACATATATACAGGACACGACCCTTCTATCCGACAATTATCACTACTGCTGACGGAAGTGGTTCTCTGCTACTGCTGCTGTTGCCGCCGCTGCCGCTACTACGACTACTACTGCTGCTGTTACTATCACTACTGATGCTGCCCCTTCTACTGACTCGGCCACTGCTTCTGTTGTTGTAAATCCTGCTGCAACTCGTGCTACTAACGGCGACCACGACGCTACAGAAGTCATTACTATGAACATCCTCATCTCACTACATTTGCTGCTGATGATGCTGCTGCTTGGTGGTGAGTATACTGTCAATATATCATCTCTTTTAACTCCTTCTATAACCCTCTTTCCACTTCAAAATGTTCTTCGCTGTCAGAGTAGATCCTCTCTGTTAGAGGGTAGCAGATCGAGACTCTCCCACTCTTTGCACTGAATTACTAACACTGCTTTAATAATTCATATATATATTAGTATATATGTCGTGCCGAATAGGTAAAACTGGTCAATTAGCAAGAACTCATTTAAAATTAAGTCCTTCCTAAAATTTTCTCTTGTACATTTAAAGATGCAATAAGATCACAGTAAACTGGTGATTTTAGAATATGCAAAACAACAACTGTGAAAGAATAATGAAATTCCAAGCGATTTCGTGACTACTCACATTATCAAGGAACAATGTTCCTTGATAATGTGAGTAGTCACGAAAGCGCTTGGAATTTCATTATTATTTCACAGTTGTTGTTTTGCACATTTAAAGACATATTTTTTTTCAATTATGTTAATGATTTTTTACCAAAACAATCTTAGGAAACTTACTTAACCTTATTATAATAAGCGCAATTTAATTTAGCCTAATTCAACTAAATATATTTTATATAAGTTTACAATAATTTAATAATAAACAAACACAATGAAATATATTTTTTCGTTAGGTTCAGAATGATTGTTTGCAAAATTATTGCATACACAAATTTTCGATTGTCCTATTCGGCAAGAAGTACGTTGCTTTTTAAGCCAAAATAGCAAGTTTTACTTATTCGGCACGACATATATTATATATATATATATATATATATATATATATATATATATATATATAAAATATATATATATATATATATATATAAAATTTATATATATATATATATATATATATATATATATATAATATATATATATATAATATATATATAAATAAAATATATATAATCCTCGTATGCAGGTAAGTTTTTGAGTATGTTTCTGTTCCAAAAATTTTGACAACCTTAAAAAAAATTGTGCCAAAACTTTATATTTCTGGGAAATTTTCAACTTGACATTTGTTTAACTGGAAAACTCCTACCCACTGGAAGTTTCAGTTTGCGGCCTCTGTGTCCCCGAGTCTATACTCAGTTTCCGGTCTTCACAACCCTTCCCCAATTTTTATAACCTTGCATTTATTTGGGTTGAATTCCGGTAGCCACTTGTCTGACAAGTCCTAAGTCTATACAGGTCTAGTTATTGCCTTTCCTTGTCTGCATCGGTTTATTTTCCACACTATTGATACATCTGACTCTTATTTCTTTTGGTATGTCATTCACATATACCAGAACTAGTAGTGGTCTTAATACCGATCCTTGCTGAACCCCACTTGTACTTCCCCAGTCTGACTTCTCTGACAGTAACTGCCTTTTTCCACCAAGATACTCTAATTGACTGTACTACATTCCCCGATGTTCCTGCCTGCACCTCGTGTTTTTGGCCCAGTCTCTTATGAGGTACATTATCAAATACATTTTTTGTAGTCGAGACTATGCAGTCCATCTGTCCCTCTATCTCACCTGCCTCACTGCTCTTGCTGCGCCATAGAACTCCAGCATGTTTGTGAAACAAGGTTGACCATTATTGAATCACACTTGTTTACAAGTGTATGTGTGTGTTTGTTTGTTTGTTTATTTACCACGCTCTCTGTCAAACTTCACTCACAAACTATTGTAGTCCACGTAAGAACACTCTCTTATATTACATGTCTGCCACGCTTCCCTAATTTATCATTGTGATTTATTATACAGTCGTCCTCCGCCTTACTTTCTCCCATTGTTTAGGAAAAATCATTTTACTTTCTTCGTTTTCACCCTCTGTATGTTTTTTATTATAGCATAATTTATCTTTAATTCAGTTTCTTTTTTTTTCTGTCCATTTAGGACGACACTGCAGGGTGGTGTTTTATTTGTCAGAAGAAATGTGAGGATATTTCCTGACGCAGTATCATTACAATGATTCTGTTTTTTGTAAATGGGATGAAAACATATTTATTTACGTAGAACACTGTACCTGTACACTGACTTACGTACGTATAATACTGGTAATAATGCACTGTGATCAGCAGTCGCAGTGTAAACTGAGTGCAGTATATACGCCAGTATATACGTAGCTCACTGGGGAGAATATTCCACTTATATTACAGTCGCAACGTCTTGGGTTCGATTCCCTGGTAAGGGTCAGTTGCCTTACATCCCAGTTGCCCCTGCCCACCTAGCAGTAAAAATAGTTTCCCGTATGTTAACAGACAGTTGTGGGTCTCATTCAGGGGAATTTTTTTGGTAAAGTTTCAGTACCTGCTGGAATGTCAAATCCTCTGCAAGAAAACACTTAGTCCTGCGTGTAAGACACTCCAATACTTGCTGGAGGTATTCAGGTGTCCGGTAAAGGATATCCGTGTACCTAATGATGGTAATTTAAAATCTTTCCCTATTCGTCTTTCTTTTCCCTCCTCTTTCCAAACTTTCTCATCTTGTTCTCTTTTATCCTCCTGTACCCTCTCTCTTGCTCCTTCCAACCCCTCTCAGGCTTTATATCTATCACCATCTAACCTGCCCTCTATCGCTATCCTTATCTTCCCCCTCCTCACCCAACAGCAGTGATTGGTAACCTTTTTTAAGTGATCGTACCCCCTCAGTTCTCTTATTATTTTCTTACCCCGTGTCAAAAAACACTTAAAACTTTAATTTTTTTCGGAAAACCTCTTTATTTTTACAGCAAAAACAAACAAAAGGCGAAGCAGATCAGTGACACAGTTATGAATAAAAACATATATGCATTCGATTATAAATAGAAAAAAATACGTTTGCTTTATATAGTGTTTCTTTTATTATCGATGTTCATTAGTAGAGATCATAAAACCAGGTTCTATTTTAGAAATAGCAGCAAGCATGCTATCACTTGCATGGAATCTTTTTCTAGGATTTATTTTTATGTGCAGAAATATTGAAAACGCCTGTCTCACACAACTAGGTGGTGGTAAATGGCACGAGAACCTCCAAAGCTTTTCCTGTTAACTGGGAACGTTTTGAGTTGTGCAAACCAGAAGTTTTCTACCCTCAATGAATTAAATTTCATTCGGATTTCTTCATTAGCTCTCATTTCATCTTTCTTTATATCACTGTCATGCATGGAATCCAGACTAAAAATATATGGGACCCGTATTCATCCCTGAGCCAGAGAAACCTTGGAAACACTTAATCACTTTCTGCAAATAATGTTTCATTTTGGTCACGATGGACAGTTTTTCCTCACCAGCAGAGCTCATCCATGCGCAGATAACCCGCATATAGGAGAACGAAATTTATGAACACGTTTCGTACCCCCAGGGGAGATTACACGTCCCCTTGGTTAAGAATCACTGCCCTAGAGAGGTTTTATCTGGTCATGCTGGTTGGGAATACTTCATAAACTCAATTTCCCTCTTGTGTAGGATAGGCTATCGTAAGAGCTGGTAATTCCCATGTGATAGTAACTCCAGTTCTACTGGATGGAAACCTCGACGCTGCCATAGCTACTTGATGACATCTTCATTGTATTGTAAATGGTTTAGAAAACCGACAAGTTGAAGAATGAGACACTTGTACAACATTTGGGAATCTTTATTGAGGAAACATTTCTCTAGGCAATGGTTTCTTCAGTCCAGTACATCGACTCCAGTCTGAGGGACTGATAATCTGAAACTCCTCTTCATCTTCCACAGTTCTTTATATTGGACTGAGGAAGCCACTGGCTGACGAAAAGTTTCCTCAATAAAGACTCCAAAATATTGCACAAGTGTCTTATTCTTCAACATCCTCGCTGGGTTTACCACATTCCATTGTTTCATGTATACGACAAACACTGTGATATAGGAAAACAAGGCTAGTTTTTATTCCCACAATGTAACTGCTATTAAAAAGTGTAGCAGCACACTGTGGATTATTAAAAAATGTAACTCTATATGTAAAACAGTGTAACAGCACAGTGCTGATGGTCCCACATTTTAAGTTATATTTTTTAGTTAAAAGCGGGTGATAGTGTGACCAGGTGATAGTGTGACCAACCTTTGTGTGTACTCACCTGGTTGTACTCACCTAGTTGAGGTTGCAGGGGGTCGAGTCCAAGCTCCTGGCCCCGCATCTTCACTGGTCGCTACTAGGCCACTCTCCCTGAACCGTGAGCTTTATTATACTCTGCTTGTGTGTGTGTGTGTGTGTGTGTTTTCCTTCGGTTTCACAATCATATTTGAATTTTAATAGGACACAAGAAGATCTCAAAATAATTTTCCTGTGTCCTCAATGAGAAGTTTTCAACATATATCTGCCAATTTTTAACTAGAAAGTAACAGATATGGTAAAAATTCAGTCCCAAGGTATTATATCAGTTAATCATTATTGGGCTGAGATCATCACTCAACACAGTAGCTTAGCTTCGTCTGTAGAAAGCGTTCCTAATTTTCAGTTTTAAATAAATCAATTTACAGACTCCTGGTGAAAGGAAGCACCATGCACAGCTTCATGGTTAGGTATCTGAAGAACCGAAATCAGTGAAGTCGGTCGATAATAGCTAAAGTAGCAGTACCAAAATAAGTGACTCGACCCCTACACACACACACACACACACACACACACACACACACACACACACACACACACACACACACACACACACACACACACAACAAAGACAGCAGACCTCGGTAACATCAATGCCGGTGTTACGTGACCGACATTTTCAACACATATTTATTGTATCTGAATTTTACCTAATAAATAAAAGATTAACACAGTATTTAACTGAATATAATATTAAAATTGTGTTTTAGTCCATATTTTAATTTTCCTGGCAATTCAAATTTAATATTTCATCAACACAAGACTACTGAAGCCTAGTAAGTGGTAGATCATCCTCTAAATTTCGCAACTATTTTTGGTTCAATATATGAGAAATCTCAGTTGCCATCACTGGCCAATAGACCAGTGGTTCTTAAACAGGGGGCTCGCCCCCCAGGAGA